GCCATTGTCCTCTGAAGTCCATCATTAAAATAGTGATACGATTTATTCTTTAGAACGTTTATAAAATTATTGAAATTCATATTAGTGTTGTCCCAAAATTATTACATTTCGTTACTCAGTGTTAGTTACGTGCGTATAATTCTGAACGTAGTTGTTCGAAACTGACGGGAAATAATTTTCCTAATATTGACAACATTGCTGCTTTTTATAATTCACCGTACAAACAGAGGTCATTTTGTTTTCATCCGTACACGGGAGTCATTGTGTTGAATTCGCATTTGGAAAAAAATACTGTCAGGGTGATAAACGAATTGAATTTCGGTAAGCATATTCGATTGATTGTGCTATTTTATGCTCACGTCTTAGTTATAATAATATACAGACAAATAAATTCAGTTATTGTGTATACAATAAGTGGTACTAACAGAATTATTTTTCGGGGATATAAACATTTTTTAGTTAATTATAATTGTATACTTATTTTTTTGATCTAAGTGGCGTGCAATGGGAGAGGCCTATGTCCAGCAGTGGACTGCGATAGGCTGATGATGATGATGATGTATACTTATTTAATTATAATCAATAATATTATTATTTTGTTAAGTTGATTCTTCAGTTACCAAAACATTTAAATAATGGAGCAGTACGTAACGTAGGTGATATCTTTTTGTTACAAATTTGTTTGTTATGGAGATTTGAGACTGATTTTCATTATGAAAGATTTTATTATTTTTAAGAAATATTGTTATTACTATCTTGCTTATTTTTTTTTCAATTTTGGTCCTAACGGTTCTTGACAACTTGTTTTCTTTCGTTGCTCGAAATATGGAAGGGCCCGATTAAATTTTGACAATATTACTCCGATTATTTAGTTGATTTTTTAGGAATGTGTATGATTGTTCTTAGTTATTTTATGTTTTGAACAATAATTTGTAATTTAACGAGAAAACTGTAATTTAATTTAATTTGTAACTACTACTAAACCAACAATTGCATATTATACTCGTACATACTGATTCATACAATTGAGTATTTTTTCATTATTTTGTAGCTGGATGGTCCCCCATAATAATTGCAATCAAGCCTTTAGGCGTAATGAGTAATTTAAATTTATTAGCTAAATTAGCTAAATTATAATATACTTAAAGAGTGCGTCCATTGGTACTTTTCTTATGGTTCCTACTCCAATGAAAATACACTTAGTACTTATTCTTCAAGAGTAGCACTCACTGCACTACGTCACACGAACTTAACTAAACAACTAAAAAGGCTTAGGGTTCTTTAGCCTTAATGATATATTCGTATCGTTGGAATGTTGGAATATTCACTTATTCCCATCGGGTACGATGAGCCTGATGTAGATTTCTGAGATATTATGTTTTTATTTAGATTAATTATGCATGTTCTGTTCAGTATGTACCCTGCTTTACAATATCAGTTTCGTCACATTGATTCTCCATTTCGTTACTTATCAGTTTATTAACAAATGGCAAATGTACATTTTTTCTGAGTATGACCCATAAACAATAAAGTTCTTGAAACTACAAAAACACTTTTTGATTTGTGACTTTGTAGTTTCAATTATATTAGTCAACAATTATAAAATTGGACCAACAAAAAGCTTTTTGCAATCAATGACTTTTTAGCTCCAATTTCTTGGTAATAACAAAAAAAAATTGAAGTGACAAAAACATATGGGACTTTGTTTTTTCAATATACGTGAATAAAAATTGTCATTAATACCTTTAAGCAGGTGTAGCTCTAAGTCACGACTGACTCACGCGGGCGCGGGGGCACTACTTACCAATCATACTCTGTGCCCCGAGCACGAACAACTTGCGAAAAAGTATTCGTATCGTCTTCGACAAAATTTGTATGACATTTGTGCAGCGCCCCTATCGTGTAGTAGTAGTAACTAATTTTGGCAGCACGAACGTTTCGAATTTACTTTCGTATCGTCAACGTATCGTCAAGCATTCGATACGTTACACTTTATAAAGAAAATTGGCAGCACGAACGAAATTTTGACGTACGTTCGAAGGCTGGCTATCGAGCACCTGTCAAACTTAGTCGAATGTTTATTCACCTAAGATTTAGCCGTGAGAAAAGTTTCGAAACAATCAATTTCTTTTAAAACTATTATTTTCAAGTATTAACGGTTATTTTTTGTAGAGATAAAATGCAAAGACCGCCGCTTTAGTCCTATGTATGTTCTTGTCGAAAGTTTAATTGAAAATAAAGGTATTCAACAACTAGATTCGAGGTTAGCAAATCTTGTTTTATCTATAAAGTGTAAACTAAATATTTGTCAGAAACCTTTGAAGAAACTTCTACTATATTAATAAAATGTAGTATACTTAGTATGTACCTATATATCTATTAATCTAATTAATTATTTTTTAGTGAAATAAGGCGAAGAAAAATCTGTCTGTTTGTAATATAAAATAATAGGTTTTTTTCATGCTCACACGGTTTTTTGCAGTGCTGTCTATATAAGGAGTAATATAGGCTAAAAAAAATTGACCGGTCCGGGAATCGAACCCACTAAGGCAGCGCTTTTCAAATTCTACGCAAACGATGTTTCGGGCACCAGCTAGTCCTTTAAATTTAAATGACAACGAATTTCAAAATATATCGCTTTAAGCTAAGAGTAAGAAGTAGTTTGACTCAACCAACTAAATAACTAAAAATGGTTATTTCGTTGCGTTGTATGCCGTGGAAGTGGGTGCGAGGGGTATAAGAGCTAAATCCCTCTATAACCTGTTTAATGACCTTGGATTGCTTAGTAAGCTTTTTCCTTGAACAAATATCCAAAGCGGCATTGCTAGGCTCGTACCAAATTAGGTTAGATGGAGGGGGTTACCCAGCAGACAGGGATGAAAGGTATATAGTAAAAATGAGCTGTATGGATATTTTTTATTTACCATTATTTTAAAATGAATTATACAGAGTTGTTTTTTATACATTACATACACATGTACATGTTATTTACAGAGAACATTATTTACTTTGAAAAAGTTATATGTCTAGTTAATAATTTAAATTTTATTTCACACAATTACGATTCTATTAACGGTTAAAATATCATTGCTTGTTTTGAGTTTATTTTTCTTCAGGAGACTTCCACTCCTCGCCACTGTGAATGGAGAAGACTGAGAATGAACCTCAGATGCTGGTAAAGGAGGAGCCACAGTTGGTTGGCTGCTTGAGCCCGCAGTATTCCAATCTACAACAAAATATTGCAACATTTATTACTTATATAATAACGAATATAACATTTTCAGACATCTGACACACAACACCACCTAGTTTCAAACTAAGCAGAACTTGTACTATGAAACCTAGATTGACTGATATGAGACATTAGTAGTCCCTTGTATGTTTATCTGTAGAATTGCTGTGGTGGTGTTCAAGTAACATTTATAAAGTGACAGATGTTATCTATATTTACAATTGAAACTTTATTTTAATGTCAAGTAGCAGTGTAAGTCTCATAACAATGAGAAATTGAATTATAAGTAATAACGTCAGAAATTTATCATATTCTCAAACATCACATCGTTATTTTACATTACAGTACATTCAATATTATCAAATAGTACATTTAATATACACTCACCTTTCCAGAATTCCACCATAGCTACGTATTGTAAATGGCTTGTTCTCACTATGACTTTTATGTTGGGATTTTTGGTGCAGAAGATGATGAAACACGTTTTCGTCTGTGCTATTCAACAGTTCGATTTATTGTGGCACGACTTACTGTGGTTTATTTTAAAGAATTTTTTATCAATTTCTTTTCACATAACACAACGATCTAGTAGTATACGACTTAGCTATTATTGGAAGCTTGGATTTTTGTCACAATCGACAGCCAACACGACGTAATAATACATAATATTTTCTATAAAATGCTTCTTAAAGTTTCAAAGGTTGACAAATAATCTTAAACTTGGTGATGAATTTACAATAAAAATAATAAACAATTTATTGACATAGCGTCGTAGCCATGTCAATAAATTGACAAGTGGAGACGTGTTTTTCAGAAACCGAAAAAATGACAAAATAATTATTTTAATTCTCCAAATATACTACATTTTAAAATGTCCCATACCTCATTTAAGATTTACTATGTGTTTAAATAAGTATATTTTGTTTTTATTTGTCAATAAATAGGTAGTTTAACCGAAAGTAATAAAAAGTTCACTATTTCATTAAGTTTTCGAACGTATAGTTCATTCAATAAGATGTTGAATTCGTTCTTAAGTGCTCATCCTTATTTACGTTAGGATGACGTCACTAACGTAATCGTATCGAGCTCTCGATACCTTAATGTTAGTGCTTCGTGCTACCGCCTATCGTAAAACTCCGTTAACGTATCGAGGACTCGATACGTTTACGATACGCATTCGAAAATTTCTCGTGCTCGAGGCACTGTTCTCCCAATATTCGTCGAAAAAGTAGCAAGAACCACAAAGGCACTAATGCCATCTATCGATTTATTCAAACACTTTCGCGGCTGTCTTTGATTTCCCAAACGAAGGAATGGTTTATAGACAATTTGGCATACTTATGTCATTTTGGCAATTTTGCCTACTTGTGAGTTTGTTGCACCGAGGGTGCGACATGTTACGATAAATCTTTGAACTTCTCGGATTTCCTCCACCACCTATTGGTGAAAACGCATTAAAATCCGTTTCTTAGTTTAAAAGATCTAAGCGTATATTGCAAGCTATAGCATGAAGTATCGGACAAAAGGCTTATTACACATTTTTCGGTCTCGTTCACATCCGCTCGGAACGCGCGATAAGGAACTTCGTTCCAATAAAACAAAATCATAAGTGTCTACCCTATAATTTAATAACATTTCTGTCAAACAAATAAAGTTTCACAATTTAACAACATGTACAACATATCTACTCACAATTTATTTCAAAACGAATGAAGATTAGAAAGCGTTAACACATATACCTACAATAGTCTTGAAGTGCAAATATATACTAAGTACGCGTGCAAGGACAAGGGCCAGCCACAGCCACAACCAAATCCCCGCTAAGGGCAATGGCTTCTATTTCGACTGCAGCATCTTTCGGTAGTTTAGCCACTTGAAAGGTAGCGCGTGCAGGTTGGTCTTTCGTAAAATCTGAAATAAAAATGCGATGTGTAGGTACAGCCAGGTTCTTTAATATCAGACCATATTCATTAATCAAAAACAATAATAATAATGTTTCATAAAATTAAAAACAGTTTTGCCGTACACTAAATTGTAAACACACCGTGACATCATATATATGTCACTTCATAATATCAATAATATTGCTACAAAGACTCTAAATATGGTGTGCAATCCCTTGTTCATTTTTTTCAGTGCAAATTGAAGTTCATAAATATCTATGCATATTTTGATGTCTCGGATTTTTTCTTAAATTCTTTGTAACAACCTCCTTACATCTTGTATTGTAATAAAGTCGATTAAGTCAAGATTGTTTTTTTTTATTTTAAACTCAATTTGATGTTGACGGGTATCGATTACGTAAACAGCTTAAAACTGTATTTATTTTAACCGGTAAAATTGTTTATCCCGATTACAGTTGCTTCCACAATGCAAGAAGGGTCCAGGGGTATGCACAAAAAGAGTGCTTCTGGAAGCACAAAATAGGTTTTTCCGAAATCAATAATTCCAAAGGTAATTTCCGTAGGTAATTATTGAAATAAGGTCAGAAGTAAATGGTATATTAAATTCTAATCATTTGTCTAGTTTTCTTAATTTTGCCCTACCCGTAAGGAAATGCTGGGTACGCCCATGTTCACTAGGCCTAGAATCTAATTAATTAAGACTTTTTAATATAAGACGCACAAAGCTCCCCCTCGATCACTCATAAACTGATATCCTTTATAATCGAGGGATAGGTGAGGACCTATTCTATGTATGTGTTAGTGTCAAGAATAGGTGAAATTGCTGGTTTACTGAAAATAATTTATTCCAGCAGGCAGATGTCTGCACTGTAAGATTCTTTTCTTACTCAAAAAAAATGTTATACTAACATTCTGCATATATTTTATTGACAGCTGGAAAATCTTCCATATTTGCCAGCAAAATGGTAGTCTTTATTACCGACTCCAAAGACGCACCACCCGCCTCGAGGACGTGCTTTAAGTTATCGAGAGCCTGTTTTGCCTGTGCTTCAGCACCGCCGGGCACCAACTGCGCCTCAGGATCCATGCCGAGCACTCCAGATACATATAAGGTTTTGTCAGCTAGGATAGCTTGGCTGAAATCGGCAAATTCAGTTCTAATATAAAATAGAGAACAATACTCAGTAAAGCAGGTAACAGTGTTTGTCAATACCTAAGTGATTGATTCCTCATTGTGTTTTTCCTCGTTGTGCATAAGAAATGTCAAAGGTATTTTATTATATAAGCATACCTTTTTTTAATTTATTACAACACGTAATAGATGGATAAATCCTCGCGGCCGGTGGTGCGGTAAGACGCAGCGCATCGCTTTAGCTTTAAGGCTAAAAACTACCATCTCGCTATCTTTAAGGTTTTCGTGCCCTTCCGATACCATATTATTGAAACATTTTTTAATAGCGAATTATAAATATCATCAAACCTTAAAGATAGCCTTTAAGGTTTTCGTGCCCTTCCGATACCATATTATTGAAACATTTTTTAATAGCGAATTATAAATACCATAGCAGCGGAGTGTACGATATTGTTATTTACCTTTAAAAAGATTAATATAGGTACATTGTGAACAATTTCAAAACATGAGTTTTAACACTGCATTTGAAATATGGACTGGCAAGACAAGAGAGTGAGACAATAATAATATGTTAATAAATATAATACTGCGGCATTTATTAATATTTCTATATAGATGTACTATCTAAAACACCGTACTGATAAAGGATAAAAAGATAGAATGCTTGTCTCGACTTAAGTTACTTTTTATCGCACGTAGGTTGAACGTTTCACTTGGACTCGAGGTTTTGCTTGTGACGAGGCTTATGACCGTGGTTTTGTACAGCATGTAATTATTGAGCAAATCATCGTTCATATAAACCTACAGACTGATAATGCTTGACTGCCGAACATTTCACGCTCCCCAGTCAATCCGCAACTAATGAGACTATACTAACATTCAGCGTAAACCTGGTTAACCACTTGAAAGTCGTCCATACGCGCCAATAAGATATTCGTTTTTATGACTGACTCAAAAGATGCACCACCGGCCACGAGAACATGTTCCAGATTGTTGAGAGCCTGTCTAGTCTGTGTTTCAGCACCACCACACACCAATTGTCCTTGAGGGTCCATACCGAGCATTCCCGATACATAAAGAGTTTTGTTAGCTAAGATAGCTTGGCTGGAACCGGCAGATATTAATTGTTGTTACCCTTCCATTATTGAGGGAAGTTACTACCAGATTCATCAAATAACAATAATTAATGGTAATGAATTTAAACATTTGTGGAATATCTTTAACCAAACTCCCGTTAGGTCGCATTGCATATTATTTTGCCTTTGCACTCATATGAAACATATCATCCTGTCATACTGAAAAGGTAGGTAAAAGTCATACCTGTAAGGTCCGACAGGCTTGTATATATCAGGCGATGTAACTATTGTCTTGGTAACCCTATTAACATTGGTTTTAGAATCCGTCTTTGCTAGCGTACTCATTTTGCTGGTCATTTTGCATAAATAAAGCACTGCTCAGGATAGGTACAGGAAGTGAGTAAATCAGACAGGAAACTAAAATCACGTCATATAAAAACTTTGCCTATTTAGTAATGTAGTCGCAATGAACTCCAATAATTCAAGTAAATAATTGCACAATAATTTTGAATACTTTTAAAAAATATCAAATAGGATGTGATATGACTGCTAACGTATTACATAAAAATGTAAAGGAATTAACATCTAGTTTGACAAAGATATTTCATATTCAAAGAGGTTTATAAAAAAAATGAGTACTGTGAGGAAAACTATGTAAAACAGTTTTTATTGCGAATACCTCGTCGGTAGCATTAGTGGATTGCTCAAATATCTTTACACAGTTTTAAAAAAAAACTCTTACTTTGTATTGTACGCTCAGATCTTTTTCACCAATAGAGAGTGTTGCAAGAGGAAGGTTTATATGCTTAATACATGCATTATAGAGCGGTAGGCCCGCTCCAATCCTGCCGGCCGCTGCCACCCGGGACGAACGGCTCGACTGTCGTTGGGCCCCCTCATTTTATTAATTATTGAAAATATGGTAAATATTCAATTTAAAGATGTCCTGACACCAAATTAGTAGTATTAGTAGTATCTACATTGCCGGGGCGGATCGGTTTTGGTTTTGGAGGCGGAAGTGCTCGCCGAAATTTATCGGCGGACAGCTGAATTGCGCTATGCCTAGTTGGTCATCCCACCTAAAGCGCCTTCACGGCAGCAAAGCCAGGATGTAAAGCAGGATTTATATTTTATAGTAGGGGATATTTAGCTCATGATGCTAAATGGGGATTTACTCGAGCGTCATGGGGACCTATTGCATTTGAAAGGTTAGGTAATAGAATGAATAAAAGTTATATAATATTCCCACTTTCAGTGGTGAGAAAATCTTCTACGGGTTTTCAAAAATGTAATTGAAGAAATCGAAAACATTTTTTTGGGATGTTATTTGGACGCCAAAAATGCTCCCATTGAAAGGTCTAACGATTTCAAAGTGACAGAAGCTCGTAGCTAATTATCGAAAATGCAAAATGCAAATTCGAAAAATCGCCATTTCAAAATACCCGAGCGTGTTAAATTTTATACAGACGGTTCAGATTGATATTCCTGTCACACTGGCCAAAAATCTGACGATAATTTTTACCTGCATATACTTTTTTTTTTATGTTAGAGGGGGCAGACGAGCAGACGGGTCACCTGATGGAAAGTGACCATAGCCACAACTCAGGAGTCACAAACGCGTTGCCGGCCTTTTAGAAAGGAGTACGCTCTTTTCTTGAAGGTTTGAAGGTCGTATTGGTTCGCAAATACCGCAGACGATAACCCGTTCCACAGATTGGTTGTGCGGGGCAAAAATTGTCTCGAAAAGCGCACAGTAGTGGAGCGCCAACTATCCAGGTAATAAGGATGGAAATTTTGACGTGTGGAACGATGGCGGAAATTTGCGGCTGGTATTAGTCCGAACAATTCCTCGGAGCACTCTCCATGATATATGCGATAGAGAATGCAGAGTGAAGCTACATCTCTACGTAACGCCAACGAATCGAGACGGTGGAAAATCTTTTGGCTGTCGACGATTCGAGTCGCTCTTCGTTGGATGCGGTCCAGAGGAAGAAGAAGCTGGTACTGAGGTGCCCCTGCATAGAGATGAGAACAGTATTCCATATGCGGTAGGACTTGCGCCTTATAGAGCTGAAGGCGGTTGGTCGTAGTGAAATACTGCCTCGACCTGTTCAGCACACCGAGCTTCTTCGAGGCTAATTTGACCTTACCCTCTAAGTGACCCCGAAACTGGACTTCGCTCGATATGTCGATGCCTAGGATTCTGATGCTGGCTGAGGCAGTTAGGGAGGTGCTCTCAAACTGAGGTGATACGACAAATGGTATCTTTCATCGCAAATCTGTGTCTTTTTTGGGTTAAAATGGACTAGATTTAGTCGGCCCCAATTTGAAACCTCCGCTAAGGAAGTTTCAATTTCAGACACAAGTTTATTACGACTCTCGATTACGTTTTCCCGAGAAATGTTGGGGCGGCCGGTATAAAGGGCATCTCCTGTGCTATCATCTGCATAGCAATGGATGCTACTAGTTTGCAACATGTCATTGATATGCAGAAGAAACAGTGTGGGTGATAGCACACAGCCTTATACACATAGCCATATACCCTGCGTATTTTAAATCTGACGGTTTGATTTTATTGATTTTTTTTAAATGTGACAAACAAAAAACCACGAACTTACCTTAAGCTTACATGCTCGAGTATTTCTGGCCATCGATTTTTTTTTAACTAATCTGATGGGCTACCCTAGACGATCACCCTATATGGAGGGCTTATGTATGGTGGAGGTACTCAACTGGGTGTAAATCCCGAAATCCTAGGGCTCCGCTACTATGGTTTATCTCGACGACTTCATTTATGTACATTTACGTATAAGTAAACTCAGTCCTTTTTTTTGTTTTTTTTTTTTGACGGGTTGGAAAATCCCTTCGGATCTCCTGCTCCTCGGGGCTAGGAGCTAGGAGTATGTGGTGATTCCACTAAAAACCACCCCGACGGCCGGCCTCAGGTACCCTACTCTGGGAGGACCTGGACCATGTTATTTCAGGTCCTCCCCGAATTATCACTTCGGCCCAATTTCGTCTCAATGAAATCAGGCCGCCATCCTATCCCTTACCGCAGCATTCAATCTGCCACCAGAGGTCCCCACTCTGGCGGCCCGCGGCCCCGTCGGCGGCTGGTATGGTCGCCGACGTCCTCTACGCTCGGGATCGGCCCTCTCCCGATCCCGTTCAGCGGTCTCTTTCTGGAGCATTACGGCTTCACAGAAAGATACCAATGCGCCCCATCCCTCCTCACCCGCCAGCATGGCAGCAATGATTGCTGGCGGGGACAGGTCTCTTCCGATTTGGCCGACCAGGACTTCGCGTTCAGACGCCCACGCAGGGCAGTCTTCCAGCGTGTGCTGGGTGGAGTCAAAGTCGGCTGCGCAGTGCTGGCATTGTGCCGCCTCCTCGCGTCCAATCCGATTCAGGTACTCACCGAAGCACCCATGCCCAGTAAGCACCTGCGTCAGTCGGTAGGTGACGCGACCTCCCTCCCTACGTACCCAAGCTTCGAGGTTAGGCAAAACGGCACCGACAGCACATTGGCGCGCATTCCGCGGCTGTTCCAACCGCTGGAATGCTTCACAATTTTGCGTGTCATCCTTGCGCAGGAGCCATGCTAATCTTCTCTGTATCGTTCCAATTTTAGTATATGTACCTACTGCCGAAGCAAGTACAAGTAAACGCAGTCCTTTTTTTTTTTTGTTGACGGGGTGGAAAATCCCTTCGGATCTCCTGCTCCTCGGGGCTAAGAGCTAGGAGTATGTGGTGATTCCTCTAAAAACCACCCCGACGGCCGGCCTCAGGTGCCCTACTCTGGGAGGACCCGGACCATGTTATTTCAGGTCCTCCCCGAATTGACACCATGCCTAGTCAGGCCCTATCCCAGGGGAAAATCACTTCCCCCCTCAATCGCGACGTGGCGGCCCAATTTCGTCTTAATGCAATCAGGCTGCCATCCTATCCCCTACCGCAACATTCAATCAGCGACCAGAGGTCCCCACTCTCTGGCGGCCCGCGGCCCCGTCGGCGGCTGGTATGGTCGCCGACGTCCTCTACGCTCAGGATCGGCCCTCTCCCGATCCCGTTCAGCGGTCTCTTTCTGGAGCATTACAGCTTCACAGAAAGAGACCACTGCGCCCCATCCCTCCTCACCCGCCAGCATGGCAGCAATGATTGCTGGCGGGGACAGGTCTCTTCCGATTTGGCCGACCAGGACTTCGCGTTCAGACGCCCACGCGGGGCAGTCTTCCAGCGTGTGCTGGGCGGAGTCCCAGTCGGCTGCGCAGTGCTGGCATTGTGCCGTCTCCTCGCGTCCGATACGATTCAGGTACTCACCGAAGCAACCATGCCCAGTGAGTACCTGCGTCAGTGGATAGGTGACGCGACCTCCCTCCCTACCTACCCAGGCTTCGAGGTTAGGCAGAACAGCGCTGACAGCGCGTTGGCGTGCATTCTGTGGCTGTTCCAGCCGCACGCGCCACTGCACCAGTGCATGTTGGTGAGCGTTCCGCCGCATTTCGAGCGCGTCCTGGTCTTCCCCGCTCTCACCCCAGCGGATCGCGCGAGTCTGGTCATAGACCCTCGCGTCCATATCCGCCAGGATATCAAAGGGCGGGAAACGTGCCAGGACTGTCGCCGCCTCCGACGAAATAGTGCGGTACCCTCGTACGATCCGAATGACCGCTATCCGCTGCGCTTGATTGAGCTTAGCTCGGCAGCGGGAGGAGGCCGATAGGCGCTTGGCCCATATCGGTGCTCCGTAGAGGGCCATGGATCGTATCACCGCACAATAGAGTCGGCGAACTTCCTCCCGCGGACCCCCTAGGTTAGGCAACAGCCTCTGTAGGGAGCCCGCCACCCCACGAACTCGGGGGATCATCCGCTCGAAATGCTCCCCGAAGCTCCAGCGGCTGTCTAGGGTGAGGCCAAGGTATTTTATGTGTTGGCCAACCTCGACCTCTGTTCCCCCCACGCTAATAAGTGAGCGGGTGGGAACTGCACAAGTAAACGCAGTCCTAGTTATTTCGATAAGACGTCCGTCACTGCTTATTTTAATACAAAATAAACGAAAATAAAAGAAATCGTAGAACCTGCAAAATATATTTTACACTACAATTTAGATAAATTATTAGATATTGAAATTATTAGGCAGCTTATGGCATAATAAACACTAAGTGCATTTACAAGGGTCTGATTTCGCTACAGTCACTATCAGATCCCCGCTTAGAGCTATGGCTTCTATTTCCACTTCAGCATCTTTAGGCAATTTTGCAACTTGAAAAGTAGCGCGTGCAGGGGAATACTTCGGAAAATCTGAAGAAAAAGAATATAATTAACATTTCCTAGGATTCCGTCTATCAATACACTGTAATGTTGGATGACGAAGCAGTCATCTCTGTCAAAATAATCAGCTTTTACTGAATAAATTTACATAATACCATGCTGCTCAATTTTTAACACGCTTTTATTAGCATGATCTGCATGTATGTAACGGAATCTTCGAATGTGATTTTAACCCACTTCAAAACGTCGAATTAAATTAAAACTTTGCACGCTTATCAAGGGCCAATGACAATGTATTAATTTAAATAGTTTGTCCCATTATCCTAACCAAACCAAGTGACATAGTACTAACATTCTGCATAGACCTCGTTGACGACTTGAAAGTTTTCCATACGTGCTAGTAAAATGGTAGTTTTTAATACTGACTCTAATGACGCACCACCTGCCTCGAGTACAAGTTTCATATTATCAAGAGCCCGTTTCGTTTGTGCTTTAGCGCCACCACACGCTTTCCTTGAGGATCTAATCCAAGCACTCCAGATACATAGAGGGTTTTGTCTGCTGAAATAGCTTGGCTGAAATGAGTACTTACATTATTTTTAGATATTTAAGCAGTATCTATTGTTTTTATTTTACACTTTTCTCTCTTAGGAAAAATAAACGATTTTCTGAAAACACACCTAATCTATCGATCTTAGCTTATGGGTTAAAACAAATTATTCGACGTCCAAATAATAAAGTACAGTTTGAGTTTAACTGTTGTATCAAACAGTCATAGAGCAGTAGTTTTCCCAAGTCATCTTCTTAGTGGTGCTTACAACATAGAAAGCATCAGCTACCAAAATTTCAAGTTTATAGCCTCAGCGGTTTAGGCTCTTGCGTTTGTAAATCAATCAGTCAGTCAGAGTAAGTATTTTATATGTAAAGATTACTGTCGTATCGTAAGCTACTCTCGTCAGTTTTCTCTAAAGCCTCATTTACGGAGACGCGGGGAGTCGCGCGTCGCACGCGGCATCAATTCTCGATAAGCGATGCCCGCGGCGGCACGTTCTGCCAGTCTTTAGTCACAGGTGTGATAATATGATTTATAAATGATTTCAATAATTACAGGTGATTGTGATTTTATGCCATCCCTAGTTTTGATTTGGTATCACGTGTGCCGCATCGATACCCGCGCGTGCGCAGTCCCTCTTTCCATCTCGCATCTCTATGAACAACGTCGTGTATTGCAGCTTTACGCGCCGCCGCTCCATAAACAGAAAAAACGTCCTACGCGCCGCCAGACGCCACGCCATACGCGACGCGCGTCTCCCCACGTATCCGTAAATGAAGCCTTAAGGAAGCTGATCTGATCTTGTATGAATATACTCCAACTACCTGTAAGGTCCAACGGGCTTGTATATATGTGGAGATGTGACAATTGTTTTGGTAACTTTGTGAGTCTTGTTTTTCGAATGTACATTTGTAAGAATTCGTTTGTAATTGTTTGTATTGGCACACTTATTTATTTTAGTTAAATAAAACATATTAATGGCAAGAAATCAATTAAGTACACTTTGCGATTATCCCTGCACCAGAGAACTAAACACTAAAGGAGCTATTTTAATTTATAATTATAACTGAAATATCTATGCTATATTATGTACCTATGTCATTTTTGTGTCAATCTGGCGCGGCGTCACATTTTGAAGACCAATTACAGCCTTTATATTATTTTTATAAACCATTCGTATATTTTTTCTTTGGTGAAAATGTTGCCGTTTTAAACCCATAAAAATCGTTTTAAACGGTTGAAAACTCGCCTACAAAAATAAAAGAACTGTGTTAACACTTCATTGTGGGCAATTTTAAGTAAGTAGTTAAGCATGTAGGTATACTTATTTATCCATACTTATTTATTACTAGCTGACCCGGCGAACTCTGTTCCGCCTTAATGGCAATAAATAAGCCGATTTTCGAATTTAGTAAGTTAATTTATTTCTTAGAAAAAAAAAATGAAGTAGGTATATTAATCATATATTATAGTTTCTGCATTTCAGTACATAGGTTGCTCTTCACTTAAGTACCTTGTGATACACGACATTTTTTCTTTTCTTATCAGGCGCAAAAACAAACAACGCAGATGGTCTTCCGACCAATACTCAACGTTGCAATGTGTCTTGAACGTTTTAGAAATAAGTGGCGAATATGGAACAATCCAACTGTTGTCGACAACGAAATCCATTCTTTTCACTTTTGTTGTGACAGTTCCACCGTTGTCATCTGGTGATCGACGCCGATACAAAAAAAATATATATATATATATATACGGAATAAATAGTATCCTATGTCCGTCACCTGGCTCTAAGCTACCTCCTCACCAATTTTCAGCCATATCGGTAAAGCCGTTCTTGAGTTATAAATAGTGTAACTAACACGACTTTCTTTTATATATATAGATATTACACACACTAGATAAGAAGATATCATTAACACAATGCCGTCCGTTTTACTTGCGCATGAAAGAGACAACGTTATGTCTTGAAATACCTAATTATGGACACAGTACCTAAATATCCTGTTATGTTAGAAAAAATCAATTTCTTAATTTCTCTCTCAATACAAAAAATATTTGGAATCAAATAGCACCGCTTTGTGTAAAAAATATTTTAAAAAGTCGGTTTTTTTTAATCTATGTGTAAAAAAATTTTTGTTTGGAAAAGGGTAAGAAAAACGATATTAAAGCATTTGATTTCTTCAGTTACGCACTGTATTTTTTTTATCTATGGACTCTTTTAAAGAGAGTCATCAGATTAAAGTCTTTTATAACATAGCTTCTAATGTTTCCTTTATTTTATCAATTGATCTATGACTATCGACTTTAAATAAAACGTTTAAATAAAATAAAAAAAGATAAAAATATTATAGTCCTCTACCTGTAGGACTTTCGTAGGTTTTTATTTCACTTTTAATGTGTCTGATGCATGAAATGATCATCTTATACTTATATACATCTGCATATATAATATCCAATAAGTATATTCCTTTTCTTTAATTTATTACCTGTGATGCAATAAATTGTAAATTCTAAACCTAAACTAATAAAATCGGCAGCGGCCATTCGCCGTCTGTCGCGTCAGACGTTTAGTATTTACATTTAAACACAGAGCGCGAACATCTGTCAAGAGTTGTCGAAAAACCTTTGCTTATTTTCAGCTTGCAGTTGCCACTTTATTTTTACTTAATTATATTCCACTACAAGATTTTCTAATCCATAAATAATGCGTTTAATAATGCACAAAAAACTATATTCTTTATTGATTCAGTAGGTATTTAAAATTATAAAACTGGCAACTGACAACCGATGCCCCCTGTCCACTGGGGCCGAATCGTATTGCTCCGGCCTTCACGTAGTCAAGGGAGCAGCCCCAGCCTCCACTACGGCGAGCCTAAGCTCGTTCGCCGTGACTGAGTCGTCCAGGCCTCGCCTGGACACTCGGACGTCAGTTGCATCCATCAGCTTAGCCGCTAGGGCGTAGGCTTTGGGGCCACTGGTGGCGCCGGAGACCTTGAGAAGCCGGGCTCCGATCCGTGTCCTTTTTTTTTATAAATTTATTATTATCTTATTAACTTTATCTGATAACATTAGAAGTAGGTCCACCTAGCTGTTCAGGTATCGACGGCAAAAACCGATGAACTTCTCAGAGCTGGTGCAAACAACCGACAGCATGGTCGGAACTATTCTGCGACATCACCAAACTGCGAGTATACTCAATCAATAATACTCAACAATGGCACGTTAATGCACTTTTCCATTTTAAGAGAATATTACATATATTAAATAAAGTTTAACAACGTTATAAACTATCTACCTACATCACATTTTTATATTTCAATCATTGAGTTAAAACAACACTAGAGAAGCAAACCTCATTATCACACAATCACACGTCGAAAAAAGTGTAACCACTTTTGAACTTTGACGACGTAGCTTTGATACCACTAAACATTTGAAAGTAAACATATTTATGTCTCATTTACACGCGAGACAAGAACAATACCATCGCTCGGATTAGACAAAGACAAAGATATAACTTTACGATGGTGGGCCAGTGTTGACTACCGTATGAAATTTTACCCATAACAACTAAGAAACAATTTTTTTAAAAACAATTTTGTAATAAAATAAATTAATTTAAATATTCTAAATAATATATTTCGAATTGAATAGAATAGGTATAAATAATAAAATAACTGGAAATATTTGGTTAAAAGGGTTTATATTCAGTGTAAAATCAAACTGCGCTGTGAAGCATCAGTTTTGTATACAATTGTCTTTTAGACTCTTTTTTATAAGTTTGTGTGGATATTTTACTTTCATGATACAATTTTATTTTTACGTATGTAAAAATAATAGCATTTAATAATAAAAGTGAATGATCAACTTGTACTGATAATAAATAATCCCCAGCGTGTATTGCAAATTCTATTATAATTTAAAAAACAAATAAAAAATCTATATTTTTTTATTTTATTTATATTTTATAAATTTTTTTATTTATGTTTATGTACTTTTTTATTTTAATTTTTTAATTTATGATAAACATTTTTTATTATTATTATAATTATTTTGTACAATTATTATTTAAAATTGATAATAAATTAAGAAAAACAATGAATTAATTCTTTTGTACAAAAGTCTCCAGCAGTGAACGTTCAACGGGTCCCTAAAAAAAGTGATCGGTCCAGCCCTAACAACTACCGTTCTTCCTATATTTTATTATTATTGGCAAAATGTTTAAAAACAGTATAAAGCATATTATTTCATAAATTATAAATTCTCCCACTAATGTGGGAAAACCAAAATGATTTTTTAATGGTAACACTGATTCTAAATTACAATTATCAGTGTTTTATTTCAATTATAGCCTTATTTACGATATTATCAATACAAAAACCATAAACTTACACGTGAAAAGTAATTCCGCATGATTTATTAATGTTTTGTGACCTTGAATCGCATTCTTTCACTACGCATTTAGCCATTTTGGCGATTGTTACTGTCATGTGTCGCTATGTTCAACTCTGTTGACGCCACATTGAATACTGAATTGACGTTTGCTACGCATATGCCTGTGGACAGATGTGCAGTAGCAACGATTTTAGGCGGTAATTACTCATCTATGTAAGTATTATATCAATGATATCAATTACCAAACAGAAAAAAAGTTTAACATCAGAAGTCAAAACTTTAAACGCTGAGCCACGACTGCTGATATTATGTCGCTTTGTACATTTCTAGTCGTTAGCAATCGACAAAATCTCTGTCCGTTAAGAATACGTCCATGTCACAGTAAAAATGACATTTGATTTGAGTTCTTTTCTATTTTTTGCACGGTTCCCAACTTAGGGGTTTTCCACCCAGATTTAGGGGATAAAAAAGTAAGATGGGATTTTTTTTAGGGGTGACTTATTGTTAGGGGTA